GGGTGTAAGTTTTCGGAGAGTGATTTTTTGTATTTTTTTTACTAACGGCATAAATGCATAAAAAAATTCAACATATATATATATAATTGGATTTGACAATTATACAAAATAATTTTCTCGTGCTGAAAGGCATATTGATTGCATAAGGCAAAAGAAAAAATACCTTTGTGGTATTGATTTCTTGCCATTCCGACTCAGTGTTGCTGCTCAAACAACTATTTATAAACAGTGATTTAAATGGCAAGTAGACTCAGAATATCAGCGACCGTGATGTGCCTTTCGTGTAATGTAGTTACCAGACAGGTGTCTTTAAAACTCATTGAATACATTAATCCCAATGTCTTGTCGATACATGCTAAATTTTTTGAGGTAATTACCCATCTTTATTTAACCTATGTATATGGCCTTTTCAAAATTCTGAGATAATAAACTTTCGACTTCGCGTAGAAACTTTTATCTATTTTATCTTTATCAGCTGTTCCATGGGTATACTATTTAAAGACTGCAAAAGATGTAATGGCATTATAGAACAAAAACTCCTCTTAAATTCTAATGAAGATTTTTTAAACTCCCTTCATAAAATTGTTTAAGTATATGTGAAAGGTATCAACACAGATTTTTACGTTTTGTTAGGGTTAGTAACTTCTTAGATATTAATATATTTACAATAGTATTTGCTGAGTTTAGGTACCTAGGTGCAACGACAAGAAAAAGATACAAAATGTTCGACGACCTGAGAGTAATGGGGTCAGGGCCTTGTGCGGGGGGGGGGGGACTTAGTGCACATAATCCTGAGGATTACCTACTTTATTACCTATACGAAAGATATATATTTATTAATTGTAAATATATTTACATGGTATTACAGTTATTATAAGTTTAAGTTTCAAAGTTAAAATTTAAAACACGATGTAATTATTTTAAAACAGACGTAATAATCATAACGCACACACTTCAGCCTTTCGCCCTTTCTACAAAACACTGACGATGCTATATAAGTATATATGTATATAATCTTTCTGAGCAATTTTTTATTATTAAATTCACGAACAAATCAAATGACGTGATATAGTTATTATAATTATATAATAAGGGCATCCTCATAGAAGCGGTAAAAAAAAAAAAAAATTATACAATATGCCAAACTTACAAAATTAGTAAATATACTGTTCCAACTTACCTTCCCAGGTCTGCTAAAACCTAGGTCAGTAAATAGGTGGACCCATCTTAAGTAACTAAGTAAGTATAGTGCGTAAATAAAAAGTTCGGCATGACAGGCTCAGTCGCTAGGTTACCTACATAAATAATATACCTACCTTTCTGACTGTAGTTACCATATGGTAGTTACCTTGCAAATGTACTTGTTATCGAAAAATAACCATTTATAACTTGTAAAGAGAAAAAATTAAGTCAATTGTGTGATAAATTTTATGTACTTATACGAGTATATAAGGTACGTAGATTACATAAGTATCTACCAATTTTTATTTGTGAAATAGGTATTATTGCTTAGTTTATACCTATGTAATTTTAATATATCTTATCTAAATAAAACTTTCATTAAGTGTAAAATAAGTTTCACATTTGTCTCTCGACTCTCATTGAATATATGTAAGTACAACTAAACTTTTTGCACGAGACACGGGCACGTGTTCGTTTCCGTACAAGACGCCTGTTTTCCTGCGTTTTCTGCTTGGCTTGGCAAGAGGAAGGCGGAGGGCGGCGCAGGGGGAGCCGACCGGCGGCAGATGCGCCGCACAGCGCCATCTCTCGGTGTGTGTGGTACCGGTCGCCAGGTGCGCGCTGCCCGCTCCGCGCGGCCGCCGCCCTCAGTCCGCCGTCACGCGCCATCACGATCACACGTAGTTACGGTTAACTCGCTGCCACTCGCATGCGACGCGCGCGTTTCGAACGTAGTGCACGACCGGTTCGCCACAGCCGATGAGCGCAACCAGTGACATCTCAATACTTGTGCCGTGGGACTTGCAGTGAATCGCTCAGTAAATAGACATGTGCGTGTAATGGATTGCTGCGGGGTTTCCTTGCTGTGTGCTGCCGACCGCCGGGCCTAGGCCGACGCGGTCGCTGTGTATGCCCAGGCGCCGCTAGACGCGCCAGCATGCGCGCCCCCGCGGTGCTCATCGCCCTGCTAGGGTTTCTGCCCCAGGTACTGACATTGATACCGACAACAAAACCGCGAATCCCCATGTTCATATTTTTGCATGTAATGTAACTCAATAGGAAAGATACAAGCATGGTAAGCGCACATAAACATCACACACAACATAGCCAAAAGTAAGGCTGTGAAGAATCTGCCGCTTTCCCACGAGCGTGGCGGGTTGCTGCCAAGTTCTGATCGTCCTGGATAGTCGAGGGCTAAGTGATCTCGGCAACAGTCGTGACCGGGCCAGAGCCTGTTCGCTCGGCTCGAAGACGCGCCTGTGTGTGTTCAATACGTTTACCGAGCAAACATAGTTAGGGTACATAGTTATAAAGAAAGTTCAGGTTTTAATACGGCTGGCGCGCGGGGTCAGTCAGGTCGCGAGCCTCTTCGTTTTAAAATTAGATGCATTCCGAGCCTTCGTGGTGCTGTTGGCTCCGAAAGAGATTAATCTGCGACGATCTGCATGCACCCAAGACGGGAATAACTCTTCCAGACGTCTCTTGAGATGTGGTATTTCGAGCAGGGTTAGTAGTTCGATCTACTTAACGGACAAACAACGAGGATGTCATTTAAAATTCTTATGCACACTCATAAATTAATGTCTAGCATCATCACTGGCCAGTTGTTCAACGCATCAAATAGGAACTTCAAGAAGAAAAACATATAGGTATAATAACTTATTTTCCTAAAAAAATTACGTAAATAATAGTGGAGGTCGATGCCCTCCTTGCGGATCAAGGTTATTTATTCATTAATTAGGGGCTGGCATGTTGCTTTTCACGTAATCAGTCAATAGTGCCTCATTTCATGATCAGGGTCTTAATTTTTACCTGTGCCTATTTATTATTTTACTGAAGCTGTACTTTTTAATTTTTAAATATACTTTCTCTACGGGCACACTTTATATAAATTGTAACATTAACTCCTCTGACCTGTACACGATACCTTTTTGTATATTTTAACGACATTTGCTATAATAATGCGAGTGGTAGGTAAATCCTCTGACACCGTCACCAGGTACCTATGCTAGAAATGCTAGAACACTAATATAGGTAGGTACGGTACTAACATAACTAATCTAACTTATGCCCAGTAGATTTCAATACATCGTATAATGTTACTATTAGTGAATTACTCCTTTCTTTGAAATACCTAGTAACCTAACTAATGTTTTAGTTTCATAAAAATAAGACCCTTCCAAAATGTCAGCAACGACCAATAACAAATCGATAGTATGGTCTGGTGAATTTGTTCTCCCTTTATTCGCGATGAGGGAACTATTACCCAATGCGTGCGTGTGCGCACTGTAAGCCAATACCCTATTTATTAATGTGTTCGCGTCTATGTCTTGATATAACAAACGACAACTGCACAATGAAATTTATATGTGAATATTAATACAATGCATAATAATGTGTGTGACATAAGTGTCAAGAATCAATTCGTGTGATCTTGAACCTTACAAGTGAATTTCGTGCACTTTTTGTCGAAAGTAAATATATTTTTATCGCATTTATGCCTATCCAGCCGAGATGAAAATGAATTACCTGTCAACCAGGTACAGGTTCTCTGTAGGCACGTTTCACACACAAGTTGTACCAGCTAGGCACCAACCTTATAGGCTTATATTTATGAATGAAGTCTCGTTGTTTCATAAAAAACGGTATTTTGCGCACCACCACGCCGGACTGGTTTGTCTTGCCCCCAGCCCTGTCTACGTGACGACGGCCGTGCATTGATGTAATTGTCCACCGATCGGTCAACTCGATTCTTAATACTTCATACACCTACATCCGCAGGAACCTACGTTTTCTTTTTTCTTCCCAAGCGCAAGCTGCAAGGAACATAACACGTTTTATATTATATACATTGTAAGACTTAAAACATAAAACTTAATGTCAGGTGTTTATCTTGTCTAAATCGCAAATTTAATATAATTTAGCTCCTGTGCTAGTTAATTCAATATTGATGTGAGTAGGCCTATTATGGATAATCGCTCGTTCTTGCGTTTGAACTTGGGATCGCGTGACCATTCGACCGTCTTCATCGGAAGCGGCGTCGGAAACACGTCTGCCCAAAACCGCAACCGAATAATTTCCAATATTCGATAAATAATTCACTCAAGGCTATTATTGTCTACATTACATTGTGTTCATCCCCGAGAAATTTGTTTGATTGAGGTAATCACTTTTTGAGGAACATGCGCATAGAAATTTAAGCAGACTGGATATTTTTATAACCATCTGCCAGTATTTAACACAAGAAGCATAAGTAGGTATGCTTTAAACAACTAGTTACATGCAGCTTTGCGATTATTTTTTTATACATGTGTGCCTTATTACCTCTGTTGCTGTGCGACTTCACAACACGATGCGGGTTAATATTACAAAATTTATTAGATGAAAATCAAATACTTGTAAGTATATTACTAAAAGCCAGCTGTTTCTTGCAATTTGACACATAAATTTCGTAATATAAACCGTGCTCAGCATCTAGATTGTTGCCTACTATATTCTATGTATTCTCGACTCTTGATTACGCTCGGCGTCTACCTGCTGTCGCTTATCTAGGACATAGCATGTCATACGTCGTCATATACCAACTATACGGGAGTGGTTCTCAATATTTTTCAACTTGTCATAGAAAACCACATCTTTAACAGAGTACGTACTCCTCCAAAAAAGTACCTAAAATTGATACCTATATACTTCCACTGAATGCTAATTGCACTGAATATGTAACTTCGTTTCAAAAAATTATGTAGCGCAGGTGTTTGTGCATTTTATCTATTGATTCGCGTAGTTGAGAAACGTTGGACTAGGCGTATGTGTAATTGCAATTTGATTTGTGAAATAATCGGCAGGTTAAATTATATTTCAAAGAGGTCGTCGTGCGAGGGGAGGTGGAGTAGAGGCGCGGGGCGGGTGTTTGTGTTGTGTTTCATGTGTGTTTGAATGCAGGCCGCACGGCCCACATTGCTCCTCGGCAGGTGCGGGCGATATTAATGGCAACTCTTAAACACAAACATCTGCTTTTTTCATAATTTACCCGCTTACACAAATTCTAATTGCCCTCCATGATGATTTAAAGTTCAACTGAAAGTCGTGAGTTTGTAATCGGCACTGTTAACCAGACGCTTAATGTCTACTTTTTATTATTAAAGTCGTCGTAATTATGGCGTACAGTCATTCGAAGAAACTTCTTGCTGCTCTCTCAAATTAAATTTGATCCATACGTTGATTATTTCCCGACACTTTCTTTACTGAAATATTTTTATTTTCAACAATTAAAAAGAGTGGAACGCTAAATGTTTGGTGAAATTAGGTAGCAACTCCAGTAACAATGCATAGTTTTACTTCATTTTCCCAACAATCAAACAAATAGCTTCTACGGTGCTGACCACCTGCCGAGTCAAAGCGTCATTTCGGCAGAAAGTCGCACACGTTTTCACAACAACACAATAATAATTAATCGTCATATGTCATGTTAGTAGCAATAAGCATTTAAGTATGTGAACTGCCCTAACGGTCGGTTTAACCCTGTTATAATTTCGGCTATTGTCCGAGAAGGTTTTTGTTCTATGAGAACCGAGTCAATTATAAGAGACCTCCTTATACGAAATCCGTATAATCGTCGGTTTTTAACAGCTTAACTATGAGAAACTCAAGTTTTGGTCTCATTGTATTACGAGAGCATGTAATGGGCCGATTGTGAAGCAGCGCGTACGCATGCGTTACCGACCACGTCGCCTTGTTATCTCCCAGACGCATCTGTGACAACTTTGACAAATGACGAATTCATTATGCCTCTGCCGCGGTGGTCATGCTCCATTGTTCACGACTACCGATCACTATTTCTTTCATTACTGTCTCTCTAAATTTATTTTCTTTCTTTTCAATCTCAGACCGGATGTCTAATTGATTCCCCATCTCGATTAGAGTGCAAAAACTACCAACATGGCCGCCAGGATCATTGATCAGATTACACAATGTTGCATAACTGGATGCTTGGGGAAGTCATATATGCATTATTTATTTTTCTATAACGCATCGAGCTTTTAAATGCATTATGTAACCAATGGATGAATAAAACAACCTCTGAAAGTTTCTATAGGGTTTCCAGTAGGTTTATTCATTGTCCTCTCAGTCGCCTCATAAATTGTATAACCTTCATGTTTGAGGTCCTATTGTTTAGTGAGCGCAAATTAATAAATTCCGAATTGAGAAAATGTGACGACGTCGCTACTAATATGCTGGTGCTGGCTGCGTATTGCACAACGTTTCAGTACAGGCATAGCGAATAGATGAGTCGAGCGAGAGCTTCTGTACATGTGGGTTGAAAGTTAAGGCCACTGTTGACAGTTATTGAATGCTCAAATGCTTCATTGCGAGAAATAATTACCCTTTGTAGGCGTTATTTGAAGTAATATCTTAGAAGGTAAAGAGCGAAAGTGTGAACCCACGCTTCAGCAGCCTTTAAGCACCTACAGTATGCACTTTAGTTTTCTATGAAGAAAACAATATTTTACTCGTCATTAAGATGACACTTTGTTGAATTGAAATCGATATAAGAATTTTAAGGTTTCTGTGTGAATCGGAATCACCGGTGTGTTTACCGTTTCATAACGCTGCAACGAATTACGATGTGCAATGGATGATCGCAAACGCATTGAAACTAATTTCACGTAACCATCTAGTATGCATTACGCAGTCCTAGTAAGTTGTGTGAATGTTGGTAGACCGCTTTTCTCCCCTCACATGAATTAAGTTAACCAGCGAAGCAGAGTTAAACAATGTTTTCGTTACATGTTTATACAAATATGTCATTTTGCAAGTTGTAAAATAAATCAATTCTTTTTTAACCTCATCATAATATATTTATTGTAAGTGCATACACATACTCAAAAGTACTGTAATAGGTTCCTTATTCAATCTCAACGGCAAGAGGTTCACACGTAAAATCCCAATAACAATTCAAGCAAGAAGATCTGGTTTGCGATACAAGAGTACACGACTTTCGTCCGATCATAGCGCTCTGAACACCAACGCACGAAATCTCAATTCGCTTGTGCAACACGCTTAAATAACCGCAAAATACCTTATTATGCGCTTTCCATATACGTTCCAGGCAATCTACGCGGCCTATTATATTCCACGCTCATGATTCTCTGTTAATTTCGAATTCCAGACTCGGAGTATGTTTCTTTATATACCAGTGCAGCTGCTGAAATTAACCGAACAAAGGGATTGCAACTTTAGTCGCGCGAACGCCGAATTTGAGAGCGTTTTGTTCGCTTTAAGACGAGTGTCCTTTTATTTCCCTACATGCAAGACATTCTTTGAAACGGAACGCTCTTTGTAAGGAGCCTGGCGTGCGTCCTCTCGACACAATTGAAAATTATAGTTCAGTGAAAAGTCTGGTCACTAAACCAATTAGAGACGGCGTTCATTCGTCAACTGTATTCAAGAACTCATTTTTTTATAATTAATAATGATAATAACACACACTCACAGCCCGGCACTAGGGAACCCCTGTATCGCGGGTGCGATGGACACACATAGGTAGACAAAGTGCACCCAAACTCGCGAGAGAAATGAATGTAGGTCATACAAATATTTCTCCCGGTGCGGGAATCGACTTCGGAACCTCTGCGTGGCAGTCTAGTTTGGTAACTGTTCGGCCACAGAGGCAGTTTCAATTAATATCATCTTAAGACAAGTTGGCTACTTTTATTCCAACCATGTTTGTAACACGTGCCCGAAACGCGTTCTGAAATACCAAGTAAAAAAATAAATCATTTTGCTTATACTTAAATATAATTATTAAGTTGCGAATAGGTCGCGATGCACTCTTGCCACATAGTCGCGGTATTAAAAGATTGCGTTTGGGTATTTATTTTAACACATTTTGCGTGTGTGTAACGGCTGAGATGAAAAACATTCCCCTGTGTTTCATTTATTTGAGCTATTTTTAGGTAGCTCTCAGCCTGCCGGCTGGAACGAGTGTTCTCTGTTGGCTTACTTACATACAATAGTGTTCACATTATTAGTTCTTATTATCTGCCCGTACTTAAACGATAAACGCTGTAAATAAAGAAGTGGTATTCATTATCTTGTATGTATCTTTACACATAAAACAGTGATTTTTACCTTTATCGTTACCATAGAACATGGCCATCCAATTAAAAATGAAATAGTTAATGTCTACCTATATTTCACAGAAATGGTATTGCGAGATCAACGATTGCTCGAATCAATTTGGACGGTTTTGTTGAGGCTTACGCCGGCGCAATTAATGTTACTTTCCAATGTGAAAAAAAAAACCGTGATTATTGATGTTCACGACTCTGTAACGTCGAAAGCATTAAATGTGAGTCATATGTTAAGTAAATTAGACTTGCACGTAATTGATTATGGGTAAACTTCAGGATTTTTCTTAAGCTATATTGAATTGCGTTTACATTTGAATATACATTTATTTTAGTGTTTTTAAGTGTAACTGAAAATGTAGCGTTCGGATTAAACTTAACAAACATCAATTACGCTGAAATGTGATCGCGTCAGATCGCCCGAAGATATTATAAAATACAACTTATTCGGTAGTCCAGTAAGTATTATTTAATCGTTAGTTTATGGTCAGCCTGAGGCTAGACATCGGCCGCCACGACCCGCACACGTCGACAATCTTTTTTTTCATCAATTATATTACAAGAGGCGAGAACGGATTCAATTATAACAAACAAAACAACAATTAGTATTGGCAGAATAATAATATAAACATTACTTGGAACAGTAAGCCACAACTTATCTCAATCTGTGCTACTATAACATGTTTTATAAACAATGAGTCAAGTCATTCAACAAAAAGGGGGATGTTGAGAGTGCCCGTATCTTTTTTGGAGCATTTTTTTGGTTCCGCTCCTACCTGGGGTTAGTAACCACGTGGATGTGTTAACAGTGTCGTTGCATCCTTCTCTATTCTTTGTTATCCGCAAGAGGGGACTGGTTTGTCTTAAACATTGAAAACCATTGAAGTGAACTTTGCAGGATGTAGTAATTAATGTATGCGTAAGAATATTTATGTAAGTAAATCAATGTAACTTTCTAGCCGCACTCATTGTCAATTTGTTGGGTAATGTTCAGACATGTCTTAACGCGGAAACGAAACTTTTTTATTCTATTTCATACCTCAAAATTGATTTTGCATATTACAATACAAATATTTTGTACGCGTATCAAATAATTCCGGTCACGTCTAAATGTAATGAAAACCTGTAAACGTTTATGAGCCTAATTTATTATAGTACAGCACTTGGCAATAAATTGTATAGATCGAAAGTGAACAGGAAACGATTTTTTTTTATAACTGACACAGGAAAGTCTTCGGTAATGATTTGCTTAAAAGACTTGGACACCATAACTAACATACCACTTCCTTCCGATACCATAAAAATAACACTCGATATAAATTTTTTTACTAATAAAACCTTGAGTAAGGCCATGTTATAAAGAAATGGGAATGCCCTCAAGAATGTGTTTAACTGCCTCCGTAGCCGAACGGTTATCTTGCTGGACTGCCACGCAGATGTCCCGGGTTCGATTCTCGGACCGGGAGAAATATTTGTATGGCCTACATTTATTTCTCTTGTGAGTTTAGGTGTAATTTTTCTATGTGTGTGTCAATGACACCCGCGATAAAGGACTTCCCTAGTGCGGGATTAAAAAAAAGTACTTTTTAAATGTAATGGGAGTTCACATTGTGTCAAATTTAAAAAAGGCACACTTTTTTAATGAATTATGCTCCTGCGCATTCCCCATTGCATTAACTGTTGACCCTTATTGTACGACCAAATGCTCGACACATTCATCTAACGCTACAATATAAGGGTTGCAATGTTTTGGAGGGCTATAATGATTATTATTATTACTAACTGAATCGGTACGCAATATCACAACAATTGTCAGCATCTTAACTCTGCTAACTTTAAAAATAAGCTATTTAGTTTTAAAGATCCAGGTTTATATTTACAACTGTTTAGTTAGATTGAGTTAGAACTAGTAAATAAGGTTGAACGTGTCATTTAGGGGCGTCGGACGGTGCGTACAGTAACCCCACATGGGCGCTCGCAACCCCAATTCGAAACGACCTACATAAACCGTGTCCAGTAAAACCGTTAATGTTTCAACTTTCAACGGGATCGATCACTAGCGCAGTTGTGCAAATATTTAGTACTAGTGCTGATAATGTTGTGCTGTTTCTTTTTTAACATTTATTTTCAAATTTTGTTTCAGGTGCTGTCTTCTGGTTCCTTCGAGCTTAGAATAAAAAGTTTTACGAACTCTTTGGGTAGGTTACATAGTGGACAGTGCTGTGATGGTTCCTCAAATATGCTCCGCGATGCACCATGCTTATCGCCATGCAGGACTAAATTCCGCGTTTGCCTCAAGATCTATCAAGCTAATATCGATACCACGTCACCGTGCACCTTCGGTGATATCACCACACCAGTTCTCGGTGGGAACTCGTTGGATGTCCCTAACCTTAACGTCGAAGGATTCAGCAATCCCATCGTGTTTCCCTTCGACTTTACATGGCCGGTAAGTGAAGATCACGCACATATTCGCTCGTGCGCGCGCGCACTTCACACGCACACACATACTCACTCACTTCACAAATATATTACAAATCGCTCGACAAAATAAAATAATGCAGCCGTAATGATTGTTTAATGACGTTTAATAATATTGTAACATTTTGACAGAAGCGACGATTTAAGATATTTGTTGTTTGTAAAAATACAAGCGAACGCGTGGAAGAATAACTACCACTCAATGGCTCATTTCTTATTAATTATTATGAACTCGCATCGTTACGAGCCCACGTATGTTATTAGAAGTATGTAAGTACGGGCATAGATCGGTGGTGCCTGCGTCAGTTAACCTTCGCTGTGGCGGCGTTCTCATCTTCGCTGGCGATTAGAGCGCAAAGGCCGCCCGGGATCGTGATTCGATATTGTAATTACCTGTTATTTATTTACTGATCGTGCCCAGATCTATCTCATTTTCAAGGATAACTAACATCTTAATTGGGCTTCGTTTAACTACATCTATTCCTTGGCGTCAAATGTCTATGGTTTACTCAGCCCTCGTGTGGACACTTGAGGTTTCGAGTGCTATTTGTATTTTATTTAGCGGCCCGCTTCAAATGTCGTACCGTCTCGTAATGTTTAAGCAAACAATCGCTCCTAAGCTCGTTCGCTTGCACAAGCTCGGACCATCTGGAGAAACGTGACATTCGGTCGCTGAATGAAAAGTACAGTCCGAGAGACCGTGAAACGTAGATTGTCATAGGACGAAATTGAAGGATTTTTACCGCAGTTTTCCGCCGGGCACGCACCATTCCAAATGAATTGATGCTAAATTGAAACTTCCTGTTTTATTCATAAAACTGTTCTCTATTGGCAGACACATGGCGACATGCGATCAATTGAGCGAAAGTGAAAATAATCCTGCCTCTAATTTGGAAAGTGACATTTTAGCTCCGACCACTAACCGCTGTTGTCGAATTTACGCCATATGCCGTACGTCTTATGGGATAGAAATTAGACATTGAAGCCTTTCCCATATGCCACGTCACACATGCTGCCGTACCTGCCAAACTAGACTTTTGAGTGTGTCATATTTTGCCGTGACTTTTGCATTACATCGGGCAATCAAACCTATATCACTGTAGACTAAGTTGATTTTTTTTCTCACAATGAGGTCATCGTCGATCACAGAAGTGGCTGCTTTACGAGGCATATCGCTCGCACGAGTAAATATATACTGCGTAATGTATATACTTTACGCACGCTGCCTTCGTGACTTGCTGAGTAGTTGAACGGACTGTAGCATGAGATTAACAACTTGGATTTTCAACTCACATGAAACTCGATTTTAATCTTTCAACATCGATTCGCCCAGGAGTAATACTATCACAATATATTGAAATGTTATACCGTCCGCAACACCCGCAACTCACTAACGGTAGGTTGCGTATGTCCCTGGATGTAACATCAAAATGTTATCTGATTCTTCATGAAATAAATTGTTACTGAGCCAAAGTTGTACCGAGATTTGACCTGTCCGATAGTAGGTCATAAGCATATTTAATATTACTGACAACATCAAACAGTAAAATTACAAGTAAGGCGGCGTGCGCGTTAACGACGCATAGAAAGAAACGATTTATCATGCAGCGTTTAAAGAAAGAGATGGCTCACTCCAAAAAGAAATCTCATTTGTATTCAACCACTCGGCTTGACTGCTTGAGTTCATTTATTTTACTCTTAAACAATTTGTGTTTGTAAATCACAAGTTTTATATTGTAATGTGTTGCTTTGAGAAAGCCGTTAACTAGTCCGGATGTGACAAAGGTGACGACCGGATTATGGACGAGACTTTGCCGAGAGTGACGACGGCGATTAGCTGACAGAGAAAAGGCAAAGCTTACAATAACAATTTAGTAACAACGTATTTTCTACATGAAGATGTTTAAAAAATATATATTACGTTGTTGCTACATGCGCAAATTGAGTTTGTCCTGAGAATTGCTATACATCGCAGTTTTACTTAAATAGCACTGTGATTGGTGCACTGAAAGAGATTGAAAATGTCAAAGGGTACTTCCGCACATTCGCTGCAGGCTGCGCCCGTGCTGCATTTTCGGGGGATGCGAACCGCCTCAGTTCAAGTCGTCATTATGCTAACCAATGACCACTGTTGTTTTTTGGGTGTTGTAAATCTTAAATTATGAATTATAGAAGCCCACGCAGTTTTCCATAATAAATATTTACCTTAAGACCAGCTCAAAAATTGGAGTATTTAAAAATAATGGCATCTTTTTCTGTTAAGAAATGGAAATCCGGCCTTGGAAACTACTTCCACCATATACCTACTACTTTTAACTACATCCAGGGCCCCTGAAATACAATTTTGTTTATCACTATAAATTGTCTGTTACCATGAGACAAAAACAAGCTCGTTTACTTAATTCAGGCTAATTAAATATCCATGTCTTGTTATGGCCATATTCGTAGTTTTTATATTTCCTTAACAACTAGGCGTAACGAATTTATAACCAAACTGCGGACCCTCTTTCTAGTAACTAGTTACTACTTCACCACTGTCATGATTTCCACTTACATAAGAACTTATACAAGACTAAATTCTGTACGTGTAAAAACACCACAAAGTTTAGCTTAAAACAAAAAGATTACAGAAACCTTGTTAACTGACTTAAGTCAGTACTGATTAATGCATTTGTGTCGTTTAGTGAAGAAACATGCGTCTTTATTGTGGAACAAGTAGACTAAGCAACAGCGTAACTAATTCTAGAGATTGTTACTTATTTTGCATGTTTCGTAAATAGTTTCACGCTCTAATTATAGTGGAGTTTAAATGAAAGTGTACGATCTGTATGGGCTGTCTGTTTCCAAAGCATACGTTTCATATTTGACAGAATTAAGTAACGGTTTGATTCCCAGAAATTAACGTTACAATGACGTCAGGAACACGATACGAATTTCAAAACAATACGGTAAAGCACACGACAACATCGACTGCCGTTCCTCCATTGTCGAGTGTGTGAACGCTACCACTTCTTGCGCTTCTAGCGGCTTCTCCATTAGAAAGTAACCAACGATCTCAGCACCTTGCATAAACTCTTAACACGTCCACAATTCGATGATAATCCGTTAGGTTGTTCTCATCAATTTCAATATACAATATAATATACTTTAAAATCACTTCCGCAAGTGGTTTTTTAAATCGGAGTGAGAGCTCTTAATAATTTCCTTTATCTCAATCCGCTCGTGGCGGTATCCTCTTAAAATACTTACCCCTACATCCGCTTCTTTTAATAAATCTGCCGAAGCTATGGAATGCCTTGTTCGATGCTGGCTTTTTCCTAAACGTCTTTTATCTTTTTTCTGACGAACGACAATTAGATGAAGATTGCGCACCGACATACGGTGTTAAGGAAGATTGAAGAATATGTCACAACAACCTGAACGAACAACGTTATTACAAATTAACTTGAAATACAATTTCATAAGTTTCAAATTTAAACAATCGGAGCGTGTATAATTATACCTCGCTTGGGTTGCATTGTTCGAAACCACTGCACAGGTATTCACAACCTAACAATTATCGAACTCACCATTTCTAATAAATTTGCTTAAATAAACTTACGAGATAATAGGAAATGGTGCCCCAGATATCTTGAGTACGTACTTATTGAAAGACAAAATAACAATAGGATCACACTCAAGCCGAAACGAAAATAAAATAATGATTAGTCATAGGAAAGAAGATAAAGAAGAAATCAACGGAATTATTGTGGAGACAACAATGTGCCTTACCGGTCCTGTTATTACAGTGCGTCCAAGAAAAACACTCCGTTTCAAGTTGACGCTCGTTTACGATCAGACTGACATTTTAACTGCATCTCGAACATTACGGCAACTAATAATAGACCAATTTATAATTTTAGTTGGTACCTGTTGTTTGCGTACACTTTTATTTGTACTACAAATTATCCAACACAAACTAACTTTTAAGTATTATACTGCAAATCTGGAATTTAAATTTATTTTTATTCGTTTTATTGTATTTCTGGGTCGTTTAAGTTGTTCTCACGTACTATGCTGACGCGACGAGCTCTCAAATCTACAGTGATGAAATTCTTCGCGTTCCTGTCTTTATTCATCACACGCGCAAAGCTTCTAGGAATTGTGAATCGCGGCGTGAGCGGCTCTCCTCACATGCTCCACTCGTATCCGCAGCCAAGCGAATAAATCGTTGTCATTATTTAGTATGGGAGAAGGCGCAATACTTACGTGCGTACGTACAGATGAATTTACGAACGTGTCAAAGGCCGTTTTCGAGCAGAGAACCTTACACGTTGAAAGACTGACTTACTATATTGCAAATACGTAATTTTGGTCAGTTACTGTGCGTAAGACAATATGCGCCCTTTGAGATTTTCACTTTGTTCTGAAATTTTCCTAGAACTACTGTTGAAAATACTAGTTAGTGGCTTGGAATTTGTTATTATACTTTTAACTCTTTCCATTCTAGAAAAATGATAGAATACATTAATTTTACTACAAATCTACTAGAAATTTGCACGGCTCTTCTAGATTTACCGATGATGTATGCAAAGCGGATTATAGAAAAAAATCGTATGATTATAAAGTATAAATTCATGTCGAAACTTGTATAAAAGGCCTGGTACACGTCTCTCGAGTAAGATCCGGATGAACTAATCACGAATTGTTTATTTTTTGATGCGGTTTCGGTTTCATCGCTTTACCCTTCTCAGGCTTTATCAGATCTACTGTAGAGCGGGGGCCGGCTAAATTTTGTTACCTCTGATTTTATCTTTTAATTCTTAAGCTTCATTCAAATCGTGCCGTTGTTTATGGCCAGCATTTTCATTTTTGGAATTTTTCTGTGAGCTGGGTAGGAGACGTCGAGAGAGAATGCCGCCAATGCCGTCTCAAATTAAAGTAATCTCTTCGTTTTTCACTTTAGCATTGACTAAACTCTCAAATTCC